TAGGGTTTAGGGTTTAGGGTTTAGGGTTTAGGGTTTAGGGTTTAGGGTTTAGGTTTTAGGATGGGCGGGAGTGTTGCAAGTTGGCGAGCAGGAGGAGTCTGGCTGCCGCGAGAGAACTGGAGCACTTCAAATTGAATGAAAAGAATGAATTAATCTATTATTTTTAATTTATTTATTTAGTTAGTTATTTATTTATTTATTTATTTATCTTCAGGTCTTTCCCCCCCGACTTCCCCTCGCCGGAAGTCGCCGAAGCCTTCGCCCACCCAGCTGTCTATACACCTCAGCACCCCCCCCTCTTTGCGCACCCAAATGTCTCTTCAATTAAATCCATTTTATTAAAATCCACAAATCTTTCTCAAGAACAGGTCTGCTGCTGCTGCTGCTGCTGGTGCTGTTTTGCTGCTGCTGCTGTTTTGCCGTTCTGATGCGGCTGCTGCTTTGCTGCTGCTTTGCTGTTGCGGCTTTGCTGCTGCGGCTGCCTTGCTGCTGCTGTTTTGCTGCTGCGGCTGCTGCTTTGCTGCTGCTGTTCTGCTGCTGCTGCTATTTTGCTGCCGCTGCTGCTGCTATTTTGCGGCTGCTGTTTTGCTGCTGCTGCTGCTGTTTTGCTGCTGTTGCTGTCGCTGCTGCTGCTGTTTTCGTGCTGCTGCTGCTGTTCTGCTTGTGGTGCTTCTGCCTTTTTCCATTTCTGCTTTTAATGCTGCTGCTGCGTATAATCCACTGCTGCTATTGCCGCGTATATATCCCAGGGCTGCTGCTGCTGCTAGCACCTAATTGCTGCTGTTTTGCTGCTGCTTTGCTGCTGTTTTGCTGCTGCTGCTTTCTTCACCAGATTGAAGACACGCTGCTGCCAGCAGTGCAGCGGTATACAGCAAAAGGGGCCTTTATGAAGCAAAGGCAAATGACAGAGTTCTACCCAGCAGCAGCAGCAGCAGCAGCAACAGCAGCAGCAGCACCAGCACCAGCAGCAGAAGCAGCAGCAATAGCAGCAGCAGAAACAGCAGCACCGGCGGCTGACGCGGCAGCAGGAGCACACGAATTACAACTGGCTTTAGTCGCTCAAGAAACAGGTAGCAAAGAGCAACAGCAGCTGCAGCAGCAGCAGCAGCAGCAGCAAGATTGGGTTGCCAGCGAAACAGAAGAAGACAGAACGGACTTTGGAGCAGCAGGGCAGTACACGAGCAAACGGATA